CTCTATTGTTCTCTGTGTTCGTTGGTGCTTTTCTTTTTAAGTGTTTGTTGTACGTGGAAGTATCTTCAGAAGCTGGTCGATTGAACTGGTTTTGGACACAACCCAAATGGGTGTTCTAAACTAGGGACCTGATTGTACCTCGTGGATTATTTATTGGGATTGAGGGATCTATGGAGATACAATTGCATGAATCTAACTTCCCTAAATGACTCTCAACTGGCCTCATGCTTTTTTCTAGCCTATTAGTTAGGTGAACAAGTGTGTGGCATATCTGTCTCTCAACTGTATCATTTTGAAAACGGAAACGGAATTCTATATTAAATGAAGACTGTGATTTAATAGTTCTATGAACGATATCTTGGTGGAGTTTAGAGAAAGTGACCAAAATTCAGAGACACAATACGATTTTAACACATTGGTGATCTGTAATGGGCTTAAGCAATTTGGTTTTGGCTAATATGCTCTTGCTCAATGTTTGAGCATTCAAAGGAGATCGATTGATCTCTGACTGCTAGACCCGACCCTTAATTCAAAGATAACTGTACAACCCAACAGCTGATTTGCTGAAAACCTGGCTTTACTTGTATCAGGTACTCAAGGGTGGACTTGAAACTGTTCATGTACCATATGCTTATGGGTTTGCAATAATACTACTCACAGTTCTTGTTAAAGTTGCCACACTCCCTTTGACCAAGCAACAGGTATGCTCTTGTTGCTGCAACTTTGATTAACATTACAAACATGTGTATTCTTTCACTTAGTTTTCTCTAGCATAGTTTACTTATTACCTAAATTTATTTCCTTGAAATGGTTTATCATGTCGTATTGCCTTTTCTGCCTTCGATTGAATTGTTTGCTTCTGGTAATGTCCCTTAATACCTATATTAGATCTGAAAGATAATGTGCATATCTTTTGTATTAGGTCGAATCAACGCTAGCAATGCAGAATCTTCAACCAAAGTTAAAGGCTATCCAACAAAGATATGCAGGAAATCAGGTAAGAAACATTCCTTTGTATTTTCATGTAATTGTTCATATTATTGATGATATTTTATAGATAATGCTTGGGTATTGCTCTAGGACTAGAAATTTCAGTCTTATTTTAGCAGGAGTCAATTATTTGAATTTGGTAATCATCACGATTATTTTTCTGACGCCAATGGGGAATAGAAAGACAAAGTATCTATCCAACAAAATATGATGAAGCATGATTAGTTTTTATAGTTGAACAGTAATTCACTTGAGATAATTTCACAGTGTTATATTAGCACTATTACCACCCGATGTGTACTTGCTATCATCAGAGTGCATATGTCCAGGCTATAGGTCTATGATGTTTGGTTTGATTTCTTGTGGAGGTCATCCTAGTTTCTTTTAATAATATTCAAGTTCTAGTAGAAAGATTGTTGGCCATTTATTTGTTGAAATATTCACCCCAAGCATACTTATGACTGGTTTTAAATGTTGTACTGATATTAATAAATGATAAGCAAGATATATGCCCACGTCTTTGATTGGTGGGTCGGGAGGATGAGGTGGTTTGTGCTGTAGGTCCTGTTAATCTTTCTCTTGCCTCTATTGTTGATTTAAGGTGTAACATGGGGGGCGTAAGATCTCTGATATGGATGTTTTACCGCTTGCAACATTGCTGAGGTAAACTAAATCTATATATATGATAACTTTCAGGAAAGAATACAGCTCGAAACTTCTCGTCTATACACACAGGCTGGGGTCAATCCTTGGGCAGGTACTGTTTTAACCCATCAATTCATACTTTTCCTTTTTCAATGCGCTATACATTCCGATGATTTCTTCATTGTCCGAGAAATGCGGAAAAATTTGAACTTAATATTCTTCAGCATTTTGATTACGAACAACTAGGTTTGACCTTGTGTAGGATCCATTTTTGACTTCTAGTCAGTTAAAACAAATCAGATTACCAATATTGTATTTCTGACCCTCCCTATCTGCAATCTCAACTTCCTAGAAAAGGAAGAGAAAAGAGATACATAGGAGAGGCGAACACCCATGTGCTTTGGCGTGCAGCATACGTTACAGCATGCCAAAAAGATATAATGCTTGGATGTATGACCTGTGTGTTGTTTTACTATTGTGGATGAGATAAATCATGAGTAAAGATCGGTGGCGTGGCCATCATATTTGGATCCATATTTTATCATATTGTCTGATGTAGATCTCAACTTTTGTACGCCTTTTTGACATTTGAGTGGCCCCACAAGCAACGTGCATTTAGTAGTTAGCTTGTAGAGTATCGGCTTGTCAGAGTAGGAGAAATTTACATAAAAACAAACAGGACTAAAGTTTTTCAAATCATGTAAGCAATTCGATTTCGGTGTAGACGACGTGGCATCAGCGAGCAGATTGTATTCTTCAGTGATTTCATCCTAGTGCAGTGAATTTGTTTGTTGGTCATAGAGATCTATTGGAGAACAGCAACAAGTTTGTAATTGACTCTAATTTACTTAATATAATGTGATTGGTTTAATTGTATTCAGGTCTAGGAGGAAAATAGAGACTTCCAATAATAAACTGACAATGAAATAGAAAAGAATAAAGGAACATGATCAAGAGATAGGTTACGTACACAGCGTGAAATTGTTGTAAGACGGCCTAACTATTAAACTTGAAATTCCTTACAAATGGAGTAAAATATCATTAATTTCTTGCCGACTATAGAATGGTCGGCAGAAACTGGTAACTTATGCTATGCATGTGTATTCTTAATGGGCCAACCATGATTGCGACGCATGCAATCTAAAAAGCTTACCTGTGATGCATGCAATCTTAATGGGGCAACCATGATTGTGATACACGTTTTTGCATGTCTATGTAGATAACTTTTTCTGCACTGATTATGATATTGCAGAATACTAGATTAAGTAATTTTCGAGTTGAAGTAGCTTTTGTTATGAAAAAGTAAAACCAAATGTCTGTCATTTTCTAGAATATAGTTAGTTAACAGTGATACTCTTATTCATTGTTAACCAAGAAATTCCTTTCTTCTGGAGGTAACTTTCGCCATTATTGGTGTTGTCTTGTCCAGTTATGATCAGTTTGATCAGATTTTTCTAATTTGTTCCTAAAATGGGTTATTACAGGATGTCTCCCAACCTTGGCCACCATACCAGTGTGGATAGGTTTATACCAAGCCCTTTCAAATGTGGCGAACGAGGTATGAAAAAGAGATGGTTGGCAGTGGTGGCGGGGTTTATTCTTACCTTATCCATTATAATCAAAGTTAAGCAACTCTTCTTGTTTTATTTAAATAATAAATTAGGGACTGCTAACTGAAGGATTCTTATGGATTCCTTCCTTGGGAGGACCAACAACAATTGCTGCTCGGCAAAGCGGAGCTGGAATTTCCTGGCTATTCCCTTTTGTGGTAATTGAATCTTAATTATCAACTAAACAGCTAGCTTAAGAGTCTTCATTTATCTTCCACATCGTGATTTCCATAGCATAACTTGCTAACTCTTGGTCCTTGATTATTTTATTTTGAATCGTTCAGAGCAGGTTCATATATATGACAACTGATGATTTGCATTATAATGTGAATAATATTTCTCCAGCATATCTATTTTGCAGGATGGCCATCCACCCCTTGGTTGGCATGATACCGCTGCATATCTTGTTTTACCTGTGCTTCTTGTTGTATCACAGTACATCTCTACGGAACTAATGAAACCTCCACAAGTAAGTTTCCATGTAGTTTGGTTGTTGCTTTGATCATGTTCCTCTTCCTTCTGGCATGTTTCACTAACCTTAATCCTGTTTTGGTAGACAGATGATCCGGCTCAGAAGAACACGCTTCTTGTGTTTAAGTTTCTCCCTCTCATGATTGGCTACTTTTCTTTATCAGTTCCATCTGGATTATCGATATATTGGTAATTTCAGTAATAATTTATTTTATCCTGTTACATGCACTTCTGTGGCTTAACAATGCTTGGGTTGGCATGCATGTGAATCTGGGTCGTGCTTGCGGAGATCCATACTTATTGTTGCGTGCTAAGATATATCCTTTTTTGGTTGGATTAATGAATGTTAAGATATATTTACTTTTTGGGCTTTTGAATAAATGGAATGACCTTCTTGCATGTTTTGGGTTTTTTAAGCATTCTTGATCTGGATATCAAAAGCATAATTATAGTAGATTGAATGGATCGATCAGTTATTAGATTCAGTGGATTGGCGAGACTATGCAAAAGTGTTGTTAATATTCATAATTTGGTAAAATATCTCTAGATTATGATATGTTAGCATTCGTAAATTGGAAAGGCCTCTCTAAATTATATATTAATTAACCTCTTACTACATTTGATTATTGTATCCCTATACATCATATAGATGTATATCAGCCTGGATGAAATTCTGAGTTTGATTTCTTTTATGATTACTTGATTAGTTTCTTATGATTCTTGCTTTGTAGGAAACTTTTTCCCCTTAAATTCATAAATATTCAAGAAAAAAAAAAAACTCATAATTTGTATCACATTTCTCGAGTAACTTGCATATGTAATTGTATAACTCTAAATGGGACACTAAAAAATTCCAAACTTTCAGGTTTGTAAATAATGTGCTTAGCACAGCACAGCAGTTATGGCTACGAAAATTGGGTGGTGCAAAACCAGTTGTGAGTGAGAATGCCAGTGGGATTATTACTGCTGGACGTGCAAAGCGATCAGGTGTACTGTCAGATCAGGCGGGTGAAAGGTGGACTTAAATTTCCAAGTTCTTTTTTGTTCAGGGCAGTTTCGGAATGTCACTCACTGACTATAACTATCTAACTATAATTATCTAATAGATTTAAACAACTAAAGGGAGGAGAGAATAAGAAAAAGAGTAAGGCACTGGCAGGGGATGATCTTCGGGTGTCAGCTTCAGCTGATTCCGAGTCTGAAGACAACAACACGGACAATGAAACTGAACTGAAGGTGAATTTTATCAGTCGTTTCATCTGAATTGATCTTCTAAATTGTCCTTCTGAATTGTCTAATGTCAAAAAATGTGCCGTGAGGACTTGGTTTCTTGTCTTGGTACAACAGTTGTTGCTACTGGTTATGATCTGCATGCGAGTGTTGTTCCATTTGTTCTTTTTATTTTTCTCATCCAACTATCCAAGACATGTACATAGAAGCTTCTTCAGATTTCGTTGTTTTAAATTCACAATATAACTGGAGTTTCTATTTCTTTTGGTTTTTGGTGAGGCTACTCAGATTTACTTACAGAAGTATCTGATGACAAGTTCTCTCATGTTTATTTATGTGTGCTTTTGTGTGACTGAGTGTGTGTGTGTGTCCTGATTACAAATCTATTTTTGGTGTTTGGAGCAGGAAAAAGAAGTTCTTTCAGAGGCATATGCATCTAGCAATGGAAAACAGGTTCCTCCTGGGCCTAGGAGAAGTAAGAGGTCAAAGCGCAAGCGTGCTGTATGACGTGAAATTTTGTAGCCGTGGTGTATCTTTGTATATTTGTTACATTTGGAAAAATTTTAATATAGTGCCCATTTTCTTGCCGATCAGTAGTTTCAGACATAGTTAAAATCATCACCGGTTTATTGTTAGGTTGAGAATGGTGTACACCTGCAATTTCAACCATTATGTAACTTGAACTTGAGATTAACACGAATATTTTTTTTGGGAGAATTTCCTTAGATCCTTGTAATCTCTCCTTAACAGGAATATTGCAGGGGAAAAACATTAACCTTTCAAAGTATTATTTTTTTTTTTATTATTTTTTTTTTTTCAACTTCCCACGTAAAATTTTCAAGTTGACAAGCTGCCTTCCTAAACTTAATGAAATGGATAATTTGCCTCTTAATATTAAACCCAAATTGACAATAAAATTTTCTTCCTTAATAATCAATGAAATTTGAATCGAATTTTAAATTAATTTAGAGCTTTTGGAACTCATGATGAAATGAACAAAATGTGGTATGATTTATTATTTTTTTTGTAATTGATTTGTTGGTAACTATTTAACCAAGATAAGTGACACATGTATATAAAACAACTCTATTTTTTTTTAATGATGAAGATATCTGATCTTCAATTTGAAGGCATCGTTGAAGAATTTAAAAGATGAATTTCTAACGAGTAGTCTTTTATGAAAATTCAGCAGCCGAATTTTGGTTAATAATCCAGAAAAACTAGATATTGTAATTTGTTTGACTACTAATCAGAATTCCACCGTTTAATGTTCTTATAAGACTTATTTTACTAAAACATTCATTTTGTAAGCTTTTCAATGACATTCATGATCTAAAGATTGGATATTGTGATCTGTGTTTTCAATACCGTACCGTACCGGCCGGTAATATAATACTGGATACCGGTCATGGTACGGTACAATTGTACACAGAATATCGGATTTACGGTTATACCGGTTTGTACCGAGGTCATACCGTAAATACCGAAAAAAACCGGTCCAAAGTATCGGTCATAAAAAAAAAAAAAGTTTAAAAAATTAAAAAAAAAATTATTAATTTAAAAACATAAAATTTAAATTGGTAGTTAAAATATTTTATTTTTATCTCATTGGTAAGTTAAAATTAATGATTATGGTCATTTATTTTTTTTACTTTTTTGCATTTGGTATAATACATTTTTATATATAAATGTATATATCATTATATTTGTTAATCCGGTAATACCACGGATATTACCGGTCCTACCGGTAATACCGCGTACCGGTGGCTAGACCGGTATGGCCACCGATACGGTATTTAAAACACTTATTGTGATCATAAAAAATCCTTTTACATATGTGGACTACCTACTTCGTCGATTAATTACGATAAATCAATTATAAAAAATTGATAAATCATACTTTATTTTATCAATCTCATTAAATAGTTTCAAAAAACCTAAATCAATTTTAAAGTTATATTCAATTCATCTTTAATTGAGTTATAATTTTTTTTGTCATATTAGGGTTAGGGTTTTAGTATTCTTTTTTCTTTTCCCGAAACGATAGAAGTATTATATAACGCGCACAAATGTGCAAAAGGGCAATCACCGGCTGAATACAAACAGCTAACAGCTGAATACAAGCAGACAACAACTAAAAAATTGGGAGGACATGTCAAAAGATCGCCTAGAGAACCGACCCCAACAGGGTAAAACACGGAAACACAAAAACACAACTAAAAAACAACACACAAAGACCCCAACAGGGTAATGCTCGAGTGTACGATCCCAACGGAATAATAAGGTTACACTCGAGTAAACTGAGGCCAACAGCCCAGACCTAAATCACAACAACACATTCTAAATAACACACAAAAACCAATAAGCTACCAACAAACCAAAACAAATAAAATTAAATAAGCTTTTTCAAAGCAGCAACACCTAGCCGAACCAGCGGAACCAAGTCAGCCGTGAATCCCACAACCAGAGACAACGACCCCGAAACTGCCAAAACCACTCGGTTGCCTAACGGTGTCGAGACCCCAGCCCCGGAACAACACCAGCCAACCTGCACCACGGCCACAACACCAAATTGCCCCGAAACGGCAAGAAAGTGCCACGGTCCCAGCCCCAACCCCAAATTGCTTGGAAACTGCCCAAGACTACCGCACCGCCGCAACACCACCCCGACCAACACCACTGGCAGATGAATGGACGCGACGGCCCTTCAGACCCAAAATCCAAGTACAGAGGGTAGACGACGTCGAGCAGAGCGCTACCCCAATTGACCGACCAACAAGTTCGCCAAACAATCGAGCTACATCCCGCCCAAGAACTGCACCACGGCTCCACCACCGCACCATAGAGAAGCCACCAACCGGAATTGATGAAACGGCGCTGGAATAGACGGAGCCCTTCCGTGACCGACGAGGCCCGACTCCATGGATGCGGAAGGCGGAGCGGAAAATTAAGGGCGGGAGCCAAGCATCCAAGGTCAGTGGCCGCCGGCGAAGCACGATGGCCACTAAGGAAGGCAGACGACTTCAAATCGGAGAAAGCGACGACGAGAGTTTTTGGGGACAAGGGTTTTTTTCTTCAGAGCAAATAATAGTTGAACGGAGACTCTTTTT